AAACACAATGATATATATATATATATATATATATATATATATATATATATATATATATATATAATTTACTCGCATTCCACTTCCAAATATGTATGAATTTCTTTCAGCTGTTGGACACAAAAGAAGATATTTTGAAGAATATGAGTAACCAAACAGTTGACAGTTGTTTTATTTAAAAAATAAATACATTTTTAAAAAAATCTATGGAGGTCAATAGCTACCGTTTACTGTTAGGTTGCCAACATTCTTCAAAATATCTTGTTTTGTGTTCAGCAGAAGAAACTCATACAGGTTTGGAACAACACATTCCAATTAAATGATGACAATTTTCATTTTTGGGTAATTTATCGCTTAAACCATTTCTATATTATTGATTTCTTAAACCCTTTCAAACAACACTGAGCAACACAATCAGATCTTTCACAGCACTAAAAAACAACCATATTCCCCACAGCAAAATAACAGATGCCATACATTAGAGAAATCTGCTATGCAGTTTTACGTATTTATTTTAAATCACTATGGCAACCTTGCTGGAAAATTGCTGGGGTAAATGAGAATGGCTGTTAGTGTGTCTAGGAAGAAATGCGTGTAAAACTAAATGTCTGAGGACAGAGTATAAAGATGATTCTTTGCAGCAATGAAAACCACTGGTTTGTAAACGGTTTTTATTACTGCACTGAAATGAAGACGGAAGTATTGGGAAATGTATAAAGCTTGATCACAGACAGAAACAGGAAGACCTCTAAAGACAAACAACACATCGCCTTGGGAGCTTCTTAAATTACCTGTTTTTTGACCTTGCATAACTTCATTATCTCTCCCCCGAGACCATTTCTCTCTTTATCTCTGTTTCTCACTCACTCCCTCTTTAATGTCATTGATCCTGTAAACACAATCCTCCAGAGGACATCTGACTTTCACTACCAACCATACAGTGAACCCTCAGATGCTGGCGTCCACTACACAAGACAAAGCTTTAAAAGCCATTTCTAACCATTAAGGTGTGATTTTTCATTAAGAACCTACATGGCTTTAGTGACCTTGTCCCATAATTCTATATAACTGCCTCTTCATACATCACACGTTTTGTATGACGGCATAAATTCTAAGTGACAGATGAAAGCGTTGAGGTACCTCTACAATATCTATGGGTTCAATTCAAGGTCATTCATATCAGTAAAAAAAAAAAAAAAAGATTAAATAGAATAATATATAAAAACAACACTTCTAATGTATTATTAATACATTACGAGGTATTATTAATGTAATTGGTGAAGTTTATGTACCATAAATGAAAATACATTTGTCGACTCTAGACAACACCATACCATGCATACATTTGTTCACTTAGCATTTTAATGAGAATTTATCTAGATCCAAAAAACAACAATCTAGGAATATTTTAAATAAGGATAGGAAATGTTCATATTTAAATTACATTGTGCAATTAAATACTTATTATAAATGTTCATAAAATCTAACACAAAACTTGAATGTACATTACTGCTGACAAAAATAAGCAAAGCTATTAAAGAAAATCTATATAAAAATCATGTTTGATACGTCATTCGTGGATTTATTGGAATGTATTTTTTATGTAATTTCCCCTGTAACATTATACAGTAATTTAAAAAGTATTTTACAGTAAAATCCATAAAGGCAAGAATAAACCAGTTACAATTGTTTTTTCATAATTCTTTTAACAGTGTAGAAATGGAGCTATAGGGAAATACAACGGTGTCTGTATGTGGGTTTGCAAAAGGTCTTTCAAAGTTCAAACTGCTCTGTTATTATATTCATCTGTAATATTTTCTATTGGACAAGGTCATAATGTATTATTTCTCAAGTCCTTAACAATTTGTTGATGGTTTTGAAATTAAATGCTACAAATCACCGTTAGCTTACAATAAATCCTGAGTGCATGGTGTCCAGTACGCTCTCAAAATGTATCTTTTTGAAAAAGAAAAGAAAGAAAAAAAGATTATTATATTCTTGCTTTGAAAAACTTTTTTTTTCTTTGTGTTTAAGTAATTTATGCATCAGAGGGTGAAAGAGAGGTAGGCAACATAAGAAGGGTATTGACCAATGTCTGATTCTCTTATATGCCAACAGAAATATTCAATGCACGTTTACTGTAAAAGTGTTGTGCCTGTCAGGTTGTTTGGCAAGACGTCTCAGGGATGCTGGAACTTAACATCACAGTTTCCTTAGGCAAGATTCAGTACCACATGATTAAAAACAGACTGAAGGAATCACTGGAGGCTTCTATGAATACATCTAGCAACAGCAAAATACCAACACAACTCAAATACATGCAAAATTGCTCTATGACAGCTGATTGGTTGTCTAAAATTGCCTATAGGTGGTTTGGATACTGACTAAGATCCGTATTCTGTTCAAATTAATTTTATATTTCCTGGTTATGTACACTGCCATTCAAATATTTGGTGTCAGGATTTTTTTTTTTAAAGAAATAGGTTTTTGCTCAATAAAAGTATTCATTTAGCCTATCAAAAGTCACAGTGAAGATTTTTATAATGTTATAAAACTTTGAATGCTGTTCTTTTGACCTTTCTATTTATAAAAGAATCCTGAAAAAAATGTATCACGATTTCCACAAAATACTAAGCAGCACAGCTCTTTTCAACATTGACAATAAGAAAATTGCTTCAGCACTAAATCAGTATGAACAATGTCAGTTAGATTTGTTTTAAAGAAATTAATAGTTTAATTTAACAAGGACACATTAAACTGATCAAAACTGACACTGACAATGTTACACAAGATTTCAATGTCAAATACTGTAAATACGGTAAATTCGATTAATCACAGAATCCTGAAAAAAATGTGTCATGGTTTATAAATAGTAAACAGTACAACTGTTTTCAAATTTGATAAATGTTTCTTAAACACCAAATCAGCATATTAGAATGACTTCTGAAGGATCATGTGACACAAATTACTTTTAAATAAAAATTAAAACTGTAATGATATTTCACTATGCTACTGTTCCAGCATATGGATTTTAAAAACATTTAAAAATCGTACAGACACCAAACTTTTGAGAAGTAAAGTAAATTAAATGCCTTATACCAGTGGTTCCCAACCCTGGTCCATTGGTCGCCATGATTTTGCCAAGTAAGACATGTTCCTGGATCAACATATTTTGTTGATCCTGGATCAACATTACTGTCCAACATATAGTCTAAACCCAATCCCTACCCCTAAACCTAACCCTACCCATAATTTATTCCTAAAATCAGTCTAATGATAGCTGATTAACAAGGGTGTAGAAGCACCTAACCCTGATCGTAAGCCTAAAACAGATATTTCCTGAAAAGTCATCCCTCAATTCTGATTGGTTAATTGGAATGTTGTTCCAGGATCAACACGGATGTTGATCCAGGAACATGTTGTACTTGGTGAAATCACGGTCACCTCCTGGAGGCACCCCAACACTGCATGTTCTGCATGTCTCCTTAATCAAACATTCAGATCATCAGCTCATTAGTAGAGACTCCAAGACCTGAAATTGGTGTGCCAAAGAAATGTGCAGTGTTGGGGTGCCTCCAGGACCAGTGTTGGGAACCACTGCCTTATACAACAAAAACAAACAGCAGCATAAATTGGAGAGAGTTTTTGTTTGCCTTCCCTGGTTGTGCATTAGAGGCATGGCCAGAGGCAATGGCAGGTGGAACTATTGATTTTCCCTGAAAGCTGAGATTATGGTGTGAAGTGTTTTGTTTGCGAGCTAAAAAGGCAGAATAATCATGCATAATCATGTCCAGTGGCCTTGAAGTGAGTGAGATTATGAAAAAGAGATCGGAAAGTTTTCTGTGCTCACTAACTGAATACATAAAGAACTGCATTTCTCCACAGACTAAACAGACATAAGAAGACAGAGCTAATAGGCAGATGCTCGGAGAGCATGACCTCTTCACACTGCACACCGGTGTGTATCACTCATCATGTTTGCATTCAGAAACACTGTCACCCACATCCCACATAAACACAGCCTCATCATTTCTCTCATACATGCACTCAGTTCTACACACGCTTCAGTGGTAACAAGTAAGAGAGACAGTCTAACGAGAGGTGTGTGATCTCACTGAGCAATCTCACGAGTGTAATTACTGCAAACGGAACACACTGTACTGTAGCATACAGAGAGAGAGAAAAGGGGGTTTAAAACCACACCTGGAGCTGCTGCAGCAATACCATTACAACCGTATAATAACCCAAAGTGGGAAAATAATTTTAATTGTTCAAAAGAGGGGTTCTCACATCAGGTATTTTTCACTTTAGGATATGCAACCCCAGAACATTCAGCACATCATGTATTGCTTTGAAAATTTGGTATTGTTGTTAATGGAACTACATGCTTTTATAGAATCAAAAAGATTCTGAAGAAAACTTCTCATTACCAAACCTAAGAGGGCAGGTGTTATGCTGGCACTGGAAATTTTACATGTATTGATGTTGATGTGCATTTTTAATCCTGGCAAACTTAAAATGTTAGCTTTCTGAGATGTTTCATACACTGTTATGTTTTAACAATGTTTTATATGTTTTATATATTATTGTTTTATACACTGCAAAAATGACCCATGATAGTTTCGAAGCATCAGTAATAATGTGCTGAAAACTACATATTAGCATTAGTAATATTTTGCTTTATATTCCAGCAAAAGTGTGTTTATGGATTTTTATACTGTACAAAACCAGGCACACACACACATATAAAATAAAAAAAAATAATAAATGTAAAAAAAACTTTAATAAATGTAAAGAAAACTTCAAGAGAAAATTTAAAACTTACAAGAAAAATATACATATAAAATATTCTAGCAAATAACTTGCGAATATATTGTCAGGATCAGTAAGATATTTTTTAAAGAAATTAAATATTTATTCAGCAAGGATGCATTCAAGTGATCAAATCAAATAAATGCTATTCTTTTGAACTTTCCATTCATCAGAGAATGTTGTATCAAGCTTTCAACTAAAATATTAAGCGTACAAGTGACAGTTACATTTAAACTGTTATAAAAGATTGTTTTAAAATATTTTTTAAAATACTTTTGAACTTTCTATTTGTCAACGAATTATGAACAAAAAAAATGTATTACAGTTTCCACAAAAATATTAAGCAGCACAACTTTGTTCATCATGTGACGACTGTAGTATGGCTGCTGGAAATTCTGCTGTTCCATCACAAGAATAAATCATATTTAAAATATATAGGCTAAAAATATAAAACTACATAGCCCCACACGTGACATTCAGACAAAAAATATACTTATAGCGGCCACAAATTAAGAATTAATTTTCTTGTTTTATTAATTAATTAATTTATGTAAATCATGACCATGTTATATGAATAGGTCCCTCATTTTGATTTTACTGAAATGAGGATACGAAGCATATATTAAAAGCACACAAAGAATGTTCTATGAAAAGTTAATCTGCAAAAACAGACAACTCCTTTTTTAACAGTTTTCAAAAATCATGTTTTTTCATTGTGCGTTCCAATTAATCTCTATCAAACTTCAGTTGGGTTATTTTGATTAAGTTAAAAATAAAAATAAAAAATCCAGCTAACTAATGCAATAAAACACACACACACACACACACACACACACAAAAACATGAAAACATAATAAAAAAACATGATTTTAGAAAATTAAAAAAAAACTGAAATAAAGTCTTCATATATTAAATCTACATCTTACAAATTAGCCCTTCACAGCAGATATAAAGTGAAAGAGTTCACCTTCAGATAAACTAAGAAGAACAAGAGTTGACCAAGTGCACAGTGACCTCAGCTGCTAACTGTCTATGACAGTGTACAAAACTACTGCAGCATTCTAGTAACCTTCAAGATCTAAATGAGAGGAAGTCAGGAGGGGAATGAACAGAGCGTGAAGGAACATGGCAGTAATAATGATAGAGAGAGTGTGTTTGAACAGAAAGAGCACGATAGTCATATTAATGCAGACTACCTGCTCATAACAGGTACTTATTAAGAAATATAAATGAAAGTCTAGCCTGGAATGACTGAGGTGCCATTTACAGAATGTGAGTGTGTCTTTGAGAGTTTGGTCACATTGAGCTGTGTATCACCTGAGGCAAAATTGTCATACATCAGAGGGACAGTGTGTGTGTGTGTGTGTGTTTATGTGGTTTATGAGGACACAAATTTGCATAATAACATGGGTATGACATAGGTATTACAACGAGAAGGTGATTTATGAGAACAAGTTCAGTGTCCCCGTAATTCAAAAGGCTTAAAAATAAATCAGCATGAGTTTTTTTGAAAATCTAAAAATGCAGAAAGTTTCCTGTGAGGGGTAGGTTTAGGGGTAGGGTTGGTGTAGGGCAATAGAAAATATGGTTTGTACTGTATTAAAACCATTATGCCTATGGAGAGTCCCCATAAACCATAAAAACAAACCTCTGTGCGCGTGTGTGTGTGTGTGTGTGTGTCTGTGTGTGTGTGTGTGTGCGTGCGGGCGTGCGTGCGTGTGTGTGTGTGTGCGTGCGGGCGTGCGTGCGTGTGTGTGTGTGTGCGTCCGTGTGTGTGTGTCCACTATCAAGTGCACAGTTGCTGACTTTGCCTTTTAATTGCTGCTGATATATGAAAGGTGCTTTACATGTCAACAATCATACAGTGACATAGAGAACAGACTGACAGGGCACATTTCACATTCAATACACACTCTGAAGCATAAAACACTACAATAATTTCAAATGCTACAAATAAATGTAGGTATTACAATATTATAAAGTACAGTATAAAAATATATATTCATTTTGAGATTTACTAATGATTACATTTATTCCATTATTCAATTAAAATAATGAATTTTGAGTGTTTTTAAGATTAAATATGTGACCCTGAACCACAAAACTAGTCTTAAGTAGCACAGGTATATTTGTAGTAATAGCCAAAAATACATTGTATGGGTCAAAATGATCAATTTTTCCAATTGATCAAAATCATTAGGATATAAAGTAAAGATCATGTTCCATTAAGATATTTTGTACATGTCCTACCGTGAATATATCAAAACTTAATTTTTGATAAGTAATATGCATTGCTAAGAACTTCATTTGGACAAATTTAAAGGCAATTTTCTCAATATTTAGATATTTTTGCACCCTCAGATTCCAGATTTTCAAATATTTGTATGACTACCAAATATTGTCCTATCCTAACAAACCATACATCAATGGACAGCTTATTTATGCAGCTTTCAGATGATGTATAAATCTCAATTTCTAAAAAATTGACCTTTATGTCTGATGTCTTTATAGCTGAAGGTTTGCTAACATGACAGAACCTTAACTTTAAGTGAGCGTTGCATGATGGTAAAGGATACACACTCTGAAGCATAAAACACTACAATAATTTCAAATGCTACAAATAAATGTAGGTATTACAATATTATAAAGTACAGTATAAAAATATATATTCATTTTGAGATTTACTAATGATTACATTTATTCCATTATTCAATTAAAATAATGAATTTTGAGTGTTTTTAAGATTAAATATGTGACCCTGAACCACAAAACTAGTCTTAAGTAGCACAGGTATATTTGTAGTAATAGCCAAAAATACATTGTATGGGTCAAAATGATCAATTTTTCCAATTGATCAAAATCATTAGGATATAAAGTAAAGATCATGTTCCATTAAGATATTTTGTACATGTCCTACCGTGAATATATCAAAACTTAATTTTTGATAAGTAATATGCATTGCTAAGAACTTCATTTGGACAAATTTAAAGGCAATTTTCTCAATATTTAGATATTTTTGCACCCTCAGATTCCAGATTTTCAAATATTTGTATGACTACCAAATATTGTCCTATCCTAACAAACCATACATCAATGGACAGCTTATTTATGCAGCTTTCAGATGATGTATAAATCTCAATTTCTAAAAAATTGACCTTTATGTCTGATGTCTTTATAGCTGAAGGTTTGCTAACATGACAGAACCTTAACTTTAAGTGAGCGTTGCATGATGGTAAAGGCAATCTAAATGTAAAAATACAATAGGGGATATTAGCATGAACAGTCATTTACATATTAACTGCTACAATAAATAAAACATATAATATCATCAGAGAACCTATAATGCATCCTTCTTAAAATTGTGTCAACTGCAATTTGATAAATGGCAGCAGTGTTCAGCAACTACATATATTAATATAATCACTCCACGGTGTAATATAGTTAATCAGTCTAATTTTGTTGGTTCTTTACAGTTGTCAAGCAGCTTGGCACATAGTAACAGAGAGTGTGATCACAGGTGTGCATATAATGGCTTCAAACATGGCTCATCCAATCAGAAACATTATAAGTGTATTCTAAGGTCAGAAAGCAGGGCAAAATGTTAGCACACACAGATAATGCTATCTGAAGCACATAATGAGTGGACATAAGCATTTCCTGTTGTATATTTACATGTTTAGTGAAGGAGAACGAGAGAGCTGCATAAGGATCCATCTGTTTGCCTCCGTTTGCCCCAAACACCTGCGTTTGAACGCACAGACCACACTATTACATCAAACACATACACACATCTACAGATGTTTGTGGATCTCAGCTGTATTGACACAGAAGAACAAAGACATGTCCATGTTTGATAGACAGGAAAAAAGAGAGAGAGAGGAAAGCAAGTGTAAGAGTAAACGAGAGGAGAGTGGGTGAAACAGATTGTGCTGTCAAAGGGGATGGAAAGGGCTCAATGTGATGTTGCCACGACAGTGCAGAGTGGGACAGAATAAAGTAGCTCCGTGTGTGTGTGTGTGTGTGTGTGTGTGTGTGTGTGTGTGTGTGTGTGTGTGTGGACAGAATAAAAGAGCTCCGTGTGTGTGTGTGTGTGTGTGTGTGTGTGTGTGTGTGTGTGTGTGTGTGTGTGTGTGGGCGATACATATTTCCCCTCTCTCCCTGTCTGACTCACAGCAGCATAAATACTGCAGGCGCTCTCAAAGGCAATGCTCTCATCTGTCCTCTGTCTCACTCTTGTCCCTCAGGCCTGACAGCTAGTCACTGTCTCACACACACGCTGAGGCATTTTATGGGACAGTAGGATAAGTGCAGTACAAGAATGATGAGACAGACAACAAGAAATCCCCGTCATTCTTTTTGGTAGCTAGTTTTGGGTTGCTATTTTCGTTAAACTAAGATGGTTGAAAACTAAACTGTGTGTACAAAATTTAGTTTTGTTTATGTGTACAGAAGTGAAATACACTTTTAGTTTAGTTTTATCTACTTCCACACTTTTGTTCACAAAGTTAACGAAAATCTTTCTTTTTTTTTCTTTTTTTTTACTGCTTTCGATGCTGTTTTTATCTTGTAAAACTAGATTTTATTGTAATTTGTGCATTTTAACCTATATTTTTGTGTGTGCTTTAATAATTTTTTAGTGCTGGGCAACGATTAGTCACCAATTAATTGCATCCAAAATAAAAGTTTTTGTGTATATAATATATACAGTGGGTACGGAAAGTATTCAGACCCCCTTAAATTTTTCACTCTTTGTTATATTGCAGCCATTTGCTAAAATCATTTAAGTTATTTTTTTTTCCTCATTAATGTACACACAGCACCCCATATTGACAGAAAAACACAGAATTGTTGACATTTTTGCAGATTTATTAAAAAAGAAAAACTGAAATATCACATGGTCCTAAGTATTCAGACCCTTTGCTCAGTATTTAGTAGAAGCACCCTTTTGATCGAATACAGCCATGAGTTGTGTGTACTGTGCATATTTATTATGTATATATAAATACACACACACATGCATGTATATAGAAAAATATGTCGTTTATATATTAAATATATTTATATATAATATAAATGATATGAACATAAATATATACATGTAAATATTTTCTAAATATATACTGTATATGTGTGTATTTCTATAAACATAACAAATATACACACACATATATTATGTTCCCAAAACTTTTTTTTTATTTTTCTCAAACTGTTCTTTTTTTTTTTTTAGATGCATGAAATTAGTGTGAACATTTTTTAAGAAGTTAATACTTTCATTCAACAAAGATGCATTAAATTAATCAAAAGTGACAATGAAGGCATGTATGTTATAAAAGATCACTGTTTTTTAATCAAATAAAAACAGCCTCGGTAAGCATAGTGGCTTCTTTCAAAAGCAATCTTACCCACCTAAAAATTTTGAACAGAGAAAAATGTATCTGTACAACTTCCAGTTCAAATATAAATATATGTAGTGCCCCAAAATGTAATTTCTAACAGTCTGATGAGATGCATTCTCAATTTGATTATGAAAACCCACACTAATGTACACAACAACAAAGTACAACAGCTATCAAATAAAGCTTGACTGCTAAGAGTTATAGGGCCCCCTCTTGGTGAACAAGAGAATAATCAGTTTTGTCTACACTCTTATTTGAGCTCAAGTTTACCCACCGCAGTGCTTGCCATAACACACACCTACACAGCGCCATCACCACCCAGCCAGAAAGGATACTGTTACAGCCTATGCCTCCATCAATATCCATCTGCTCATTAAGACAACTTCTAATGAGTCTCTATGAAGAATAATTGCTTTTCATGGATGTTGAAAAGGGGGTGTGGGGTTTAGTATTTTTTCTCTCTTGCTTTCTTCAGACCAAAGTCTATTTTACTTTTACAATGAATGCTGACGCCAGGTCTCTGCGGTGAAGGATCTGTCTTTGCCAATTTGCCTGAGGTGAACCCGTTTAGACTGTCATGGGTGTGTGAACATCTCAATTACCATGAGATGGTCAGACGGTTTGGTAAATAATTTACACACATCACACTCTGCATTGGTCTGACTGAGGTTTGAATGTCAAAACACTGACAGAAAGCTTTAATAACGTTGCAATATTAATGAGCTACAAAGCAGACGATTGTGAAATGCCACGAACAGAGATATTTCACTGAGAAACTTAAGCATTGGCTGTTCCTCAGTATGAATTACATAATGTCTGTGTATCTGGTCTGGGGTTAATACAGCAGGGGTTATGCAAATAAGGCACTAATTCCATGGAGTCATGGAACAGGAGAGAGATTGAGAGAGAGGAAAGTCATAGGCAAACAGTGAAAAAGAGAGACACAGAGTGACCCGCCAGGTTTACGTGATCTGAAACTGACGGTTGCATTATTGATTGTGTTTAAAACCCGATGCCAAGATCACATCACTGGCAGACATTTCTCCAACATCATTGCCTACTAAATAACATCTAGTCAGCATTGTTAGTGGTCAAAGACAGTGCTATCTAATCACGTTATTAAGGATTCTTAATACAAGATCCTTTGCTCACTTCATTCAGTCTAAACAGTGTGGATGTGAGAATACTCATACACTACTGTTCAAAAGTATGAGATCGATAAGTGTTTTAAAGACGTATCTTCTTTGATCTTCTTATGCTCACCAAAGCATTTATTTAAAAAATACAGTAAAAAAAAAAAAAAAATTTATTCCTGTGATATCACATGATCCCACATGATTATTTGATCACCAAAATCCTTTGGTGCTCAAGAAGCCTTTCTTATTATTATTAATGTTGAAATCAGTCGTGCTGCTTAATGTTTTTGTGGAGAGCTTGATACAGGATTCTCTAAAAGTTTAAAAATTAATAGAAAGTTTGAAAAAATATATAATTTATTTGAAATAGTAATCTTTTGTACCATTATAAATATCTTCTTTTTTTTTACCAATTAAATGTGTCAAAAAAACACATTCGATTTTAGATTATATTCACAATTCAATATTGATTTGATTCTGATTCATTTGTAATGAATCAGAATCAAATAACAGCTGTGTTATAATGTCTAATAACAGCTGTGTTTTTAATGTCTATTTTTGTGTTATAATGTCTGTGTTATAATGTCTATTTTACATGTGTAACCCCTCTCTCTCGCTAGCCTCCGTTACACTCACACCCCTAAACCTCACTCCCATCTGGGTCACGGCACCAATGTAACCCCTCTCTCCCAGGTCTTCACCGCCACACCTCGTTCTTGTTCCGAGTGGGTCTCGAACCCGGGTCTCCAGCATGGGAGGCGGACACACTAACAAGGAGGCTAAAGACTAAAGCACCTACTTGCTGGCCTCCTTTACACATGCATTATATATTCTTTTATCTTTAATGTATAGAGACAATTATAAATCTTTCTCGGGCAGTATGAAGAGGAAGTCATTAATGCACATTCAAATCCATTGACTCCAACTTGCTATTCAATTTCTAGCAGGTAATAAGCACTACAGTCATTAAATATTCACTTGGTTATCTCTGAAGCTCACTTGAATTTGTTTTAAATCATTAGAGGTTACATTATGGTGTCTTGCAAAGCAATCTGAAATCAGTTCCCTTAAATGGTGTCTTCAAATGCTGCCAGTTAAGTAATTGACTGTCTGGGCAGCGAGGAGGCCAGACAGCTGCCTTTAGTTTCAAACACAACCTGTGGCTCTGTTTGCTTGAGCGGCCCGACATGTAAACTTCTGGCCAAACCAATGGCATGAGTTTGGCTGTGACAATGGAAGATGTTGGGGGGAGGGTTTGGGAAAACTGTTTGGATTATTTTTACAATTAAGGTTGGCGCTGCTAGGGGCGCATAAATTGCAAACCTCACCTTTTAAGGCCAAGTCATAAAATATCCACACAGAAATTATTTCATGAACCATTAATTATGACAAAGAGTCTAAACCAGTAACGTGTTTTGAGCTGTCTTGTCTGAACGTGGTAAGACTGATACCAATCTGTCTATGTGACCCTGCTTTAGGCCTGTATGAGACACAGGGGCACAGAGTGACGCAGTGTCACAGGTTTATCCCTTATCTAATTGCGAAAGCAATTAAGTATTTAATGGGGACACCTGGTGATCGTTCCTCAATCATTTATCAGCTTTCCAGGATGAATAAATGATCAGTGACTGGCACTTTCTTGGTGATTTCGAAACTGGCCCATTTAAAGCTGTTTGTGTTGAGGCTGTGATAATCAGCCTTAAAGGGGTAATATGATGCGATTTCAATTTTTCCTTTCTCTTTGGAGTGTTACAAGCTCTTGGTGCATAAAGAAGATCTGTAAAGTTACAAAGACTAAAGTCTCAAATCCAAAGAGATATTCTTTATAAAAGTTAAGAGTCAGCCACACCTACCTAAAACGGCTCGTTCTAACACGCCCCAACATACCTACGTTGCTCTGTGGGAAGATTTGCATAACGCCGCACAAATGTTCACGCAAAGAAAGAAGGCATAACTTTTATTCTCGCTGTAGTTTTGTTGTTTCCACCGCAATGTCGTAAAGACGCTGTGTGCTTCGTTGTAAAAGCGAAACTACTTTGTTTGGTCTTCCAAAAGAGGACGATATCTGCTTCGTCATGCCTGGAGCTGATCCGTGCTGGTCGCTGAGGAAATACTACAACATTACGCTGTGGATCACCGGATCGTCTTTCACCGTGGAGGAAGCGGAGTCCAGCCCGGAGTCGTCACATGTCCTTCCGGACGCTCCTTCGCCGAAATCGCCGAACGCGCCATTCTCAAGCCCGCGCCTCTGCTCACTCTACCCCTCCCGCCATTCCTCACTTTATCCCCCGGCCTCTGCTCACTGTAGGCCACCTTTTGTGACGCTGTTTCGTTGTGAAAGCGAAACTACTTTGTTCGGTCTTCCAAAAATGGACACGACTAGAAATCAGTGGTTAAGTTGTATTTACAACATTGTTCCAGAACACTTCAACCCAAATATTCGGTCTGTTTCCTGGAAGAGTAGACTACAATGCCGGCTGTTCTGACTCAAAGACTGTAAATGCGTATTTTATATTTAAAGAGTTTTTATATTTTATATATTTAAAGTGAGTTTTTTTGGGCAGTGTTGAGTAGTGCTTGTTGTTTGTCATTTCTCCGATCACAAATGCAGACATGGTTTTATGTTTACGCGGCGCGATGCAACGCAACGCGTAAAAAAGACATTATAATCCAGAATTATGTCCCCACTGGATGCAACGAATGCCTTGTTTGTAATGGGTTTTCATGTTTTTGAATCATCACTGTGGCCTGACAGGGCATCATCACTATATGGCAAGGGGCATAACATTTCCGTCTCATGCTTGAGGTATTCGGCCAGTCACAACGCACTGAATAGCTGGC